ATGACATCTTAGAAGGGTTTTCTCTGGGGACAGGCAGGGCCCAAGGCCTAGCTCTTTCACTGGTAGTCTTTGCAACCCCTTGGAGGTCACTACTGGTGCCCCAAAGTTGGGATCTCTCCTGGGCTGTTAGTGGATTGATGGCACCTAGTCTTGGCCAAAATCCTCTAGTGCCTCAAGGTGTTGGTGACCCTGTGCTTGTAGATCTGGTCTCTGGCAGATGCTGCCAGTCTGGAAAGGCCATACTGCCCATCACAAGCTCAGTGAGGAGCAGTATGGCTGTGGGCTGGGGCCCTTGGCCAGACTAACCACGGGGGCATGGAATCTTCAGCCTTGGCGACTCCCAAAGCCCATCTAAGAAATGGGAGTGAGTCTGCAATCTGGGTCATCTGTGGAGGGGGGACTGAAGGAGAGGAGGTCAACCAACCAATTGGTCAGTATTTGGGTGTCTGCTTTGTACCAGGCACTGCACTAGTGATGAGGATACAGACGGTGAAATGACCCCTGCTTCCAAGGAGTCAACATTCTAACAGGGCAGGCAGCACGTACATATGAAAAATAAAATATACAGCATAAATGTAAGGTTAATAAACACAAGTCATTAAGTACAATGGAGTGGGGGGTGGGGGAGGACCCTAGGAGCTGGGGAGGGGCATCAGGAAAAGCTTCAGGCAAAAGCCAGAGTCTGAGGGACTCTGAGACAGAGGAAAAGAGGCAGTGCATTCCAAGCACGGAAGATGACCAGTGCAAAGGTGTGGTTATGGGAGATCACATCTTGCAATGTGAAGGTTTACTCCTCCCCCCTCAACCTGGCTAGCTTAGTGTTCCCTCCACAGCACCCACTTCAGTCAGGTAGTAAACATTTATTAAGCTCCTACTATGCACCTGGCACTGTGCTAAGATTTGGGGCAAAAGGCAGTCCCTGCCCTCAAGGAGCTCACAATCTAACGGGGATGGCAACAGGCCGACAAAATACTATATAAAGGAAAGCTCTATACAAGATAAAGAGGAAATAATTAACAGAGGGAAGGCACTAGAATTAAGAGAGGTTGGGGAAGGCTTTCTGTAGGAGGTGAGATTTTAGTTGATACTTAAAGGAGGGCAGAGGGGTCAGTAGTTTGAGTGGAGGAGGGAGAGTGTTCCAGGCTTGGGGGTGGCCAGACATAATGCCCAGAGCTGAGAGATGGAGGGTCTTGTTCATGGAGAAGCCGGGAGGCCGGGGGCACAGGATCTAAGGGTACGTGTTGAGGAGTGATGTGTAAGGAGACAGGAAAGGGAGGAGGGGAGAGATGATGAAGGGCTTTGAAGGACAAACCAAGTGTTTTGTATTTGTTCCCAGAGGCCATAGGGAGCTGCGGGAGCTTATTGAGTAAGGGGGTGACATGGTCAGACTGTGCTTTGGGAAAATCAGTTTAGTAGCTGAATAGAGTGGGGAAAGACTTGAGGGTAGACCCCCTAGCAGCTATTGCCATAGTCCAGGCATGAGGTGACCAAGACCTGCACCGGGGTGGGGCAGTGTCAGAGGAGAGAAGGGGGTATAAAGGGGAGATGGTGCAGAGATGAAATCTGCCAAAGATACTGCAGAGGTGAAATCAACAAGAGATGCTCAGGAAATGAAATTGACAAGAGGTGTTCCAGAGGTGAAATCAACAAAAAATGTTGAGGAGGTGAAATGGATCAGAGATGCTTAGAAATGAAATCGACAAGAGAAGTTGCAAAGGTGAAGTGGACAGGCCTTGGCATCATATTGGATATGGGCCAGGGTGAGAGAGAGTGAGGGTGCCTCCTAGGTTGGGAGCCAGAGAGATTGGGAGGATGGGGGGTGTCCTCTACAATAAGAGGAAAGAGAAGAGGTGAGAGAGTTTGGGAGGAAAGATAGTGAGTTCTGTTTTGGACATAGTGAGTTTAAGGTGTCTACTGGACCTCCAGTTCAAGATGTCTGAAAGGCAGTTGGAAAGTCAAGATTGGAGGTTGCAGAGACTGGGGCAGGAAAGGTAGATTTGAGAATCATCAGCATAGAGAAGGTCATTAAGTCCACGGGAGCTGATGAGATCCCCAGGTAAAGAAGGATACAGGGAGAAGAGCTGGGAGCCTCGGGCCGTCCACAGGGCCACAGGGCAGGGCTTTGACGGGGACCTCGGGGGCTGTCATCTGCCATCCCCTGCCTTGACAGGCATGGCCCTTGGGTGCTCATGAGTCCCAAGATCCAGGTCGCTGGCCACATGGGGGGTGCCAAGAAGGCTGAGGATGCTTCCCAGGGGGAAGGATGGTTCTTGGATTGGGCCCAGGCAGCTGAGAAAGGCAAGCCAGACCCCTAGAATGCAGTAAAGGAGGTGTGAATGGGAAGGGCCGGAGACACAGCATCCTAGACATGGAACTGGAAGAGGCCTGGGAGGCTCGGCCAGTTCAACTCCTTCACTTTGCAGTGGAGGAAACTGAGGCCCAGGAGGTTCAGCAGCCTGCCCAAGGTGCTACAGACAAGAAGGGACAAAGTCAGGACCAGAAACTGGGTCTGGACTTCAGGCTCTCTGGCTAAACCCTGGGGCATCCAGGCAGCAGGTGCCTCACCACTGTTTGCTTAGCGTGTGCCTCGCCAGAATGTGCCCTGAAGCCAACCAACCTGGATCCTCAGCACCAAAGAGGCCAGCGTCCTCGGGCGCCAGCCTGCCCGGGACCCATGAGCCTGACCCTGCTGCGGGGGCAGGGAGTCACAGCCACGTCGGAGAGGGGCATCCTCTGGGTGAAACAATCCTTTTATATAATTACAGGAAGTTAGTGATGCCTCCACCGAGAAGCAAGCCTGAAACTAGGCCTGTCTAAGATGCTGTGTCCCTGGCCCTGTAGACAGGCCCGAGGCTCCCAGCAGTGTCCCAGATCTGGCCCAGTCAGCTGCCCATCCTTGGAAGCAGGGCCCCCTTGTCTCTGAGCATAATGACAAGGAGCGGGGTGTCCCATGAGCTTTGGGGCAGAAGGGACCCCTCTGCAGAAGCGGGAAGCTCGGCCAGATGAAGGATGATCCGTGCGCCAGGCCTCAAGAGAGAAGGGCTAACGAGTGGGAGGGGGAGTGCCAGCTCCTTCCACCATATGTTTTCTCTCCTTCTCCGGCGGGAGCTGGGATCTCCTGGGCTCTTGGGCAGCACGGAGGCCGTGCCCAGGGGCTGAGGAGAGGCCACGAGGGGTCCGATTGTTAAAGGGTTGTATGTCCAACTTACACAAGCAGTTTGATGGGTCTATGTGTCCTATGAACATTCACATACTCGCTAGTCCCCACCAGAGTCCTGCTGTCCGCTGTCTAAATGACCCCTAGGGCGCAGACCCTTCACTGAGCCTGGGGGCTCTGGCTTACTGCCACCAGATCCGTGAGGCATCACTGGAGGCCCTTCCAGAGGAAATCAAGCTGCATTTGGGGACAAGAGCAGTGCTGCACAGTGGTTAGCGTGTGCAGGAAGCCCAAGGTTTGAATCCCATTTGTGACACTTCCTAGCTGGAGACCTTGGCCAATAACTCGGGGATTCAATGTAAACCGGAATGATCCCTGGAGCCCTGTGATCCCCTGGGGGGAGGGGCGGTGAGAGTCAGATGATGTCCATTGAGTGGACAGCTGACCAACGCTGAAGTGCCACGGAAAACCGGCTCTTAGCGCCGCTAAAACATCACGTGGCTTGTAGAGGTTTTAAATAAAGGGACAACCACTTTGCAAACCCGTCAAAAATAAATACTGATTTTATTGTCTTCCACATCAGAGAACAGCTTTGGTTAGGTGCCCTGTGCTTGCTTCCAAAGGGTTGTTCTAAGCCTGCGTGCGCACACTCAGCTAGGAGAAATCTTTGTCCCTCCTTTTCAGCGTCACTGACAGCTCAAAAGCCCCTTTTCTGGAATCACAGAGATTCATGGCTTAACAAAACAAGTTAAAATGAATACTTCCCCAACAGATAAGGAAACAAAGGAAAAGAGCAGTTTTTAAAAGAACACTGGAATCACTGCTAGGAAGATGCAGGAAAAATAAACAAGCAAACTTCCCGCCCCCCGCCCCCACCAACCCAACGCCCAGGGATCGTTCAGGCCACACCCAGCAAACCCACAAAGAAGCCAGAGACCAGGGGCCGCGGGGAGCCAGGCACCGGCGCAGCGCTGGCAGAGGGAGCCGAGGATCGCATACGCTGTGTTTCCATGGGGAAGCCCGGGTCAGAAATCGCCCACACCCTGGGCCGGCGATGCGATGCCGGGGTTGGAGCTCACAGGAAATCAAAGATGGGAGCACAGGCCCAGCACCTCCCACAATGTCCGAGCAGCCCTTTGGGTCAGCAGAGACATGGAGACAAAGCGGGTGCCACTGAGCCCACGGTATGGAAGGCCACAGCCTGTTACTGTGCAGTAAGAAATGAGGCGTGCTCCAAGAAACACGGGAGGGCTAATTACGGGCACCAGAAGAACCGTAATGCACAGAGGAAGGCAGGCCCCAAAAGGCGGGTGAGGCCTGAGCCACAGACAAAGCGAGGAGGCCCCGAGAACAAAGGGACTGTTCGTGGCCACGGAAGACCAGGAGACAGGGAGGTCACAAGGCAGGGCTTCTCCCTTCTCCCCTCCCCCATGACATTCAGACAAGATGTGTCCTTGACATGTCTCCACCTGGAGCTTTGTGTGACAACGGCCGACATTGTGAGCTTGGAAGAGAGTGGCCTTTGGCTCCGGGCCCAACGTCGTGAGCTTGGAAGAGGCTGGCCTTTGGCTCTCGGACGTCCACCTGCCCTCGGGGGCAAGGATGCAGGAGGAATAGAGAGGTTTCTGGAAGACTGAGGCCTGGGCAGTTCAAGGTCAAGGACAGTCAGCCTTGAGGCATGACAAGAACATGCCAGCCTGTGACCTATGGTCACGAAGAGGAGTTCAAAGAAATGGAGCTGAAGGAGGAGAGCGGGAGGACCCCCGCCCGACGCCCGGAGAAGGGGCCTGGGTCAGGGCAATGTCCTGGGCTGTCGGAGAGGCACGAGCAGGATGGTGTTGTGGCGGGCAGCCTTTGGGTCCTCCTCGCTCTGCCATTCCCTGCGTGACCCAGGGCAAGTCCGTTCGCCTCCGTGGGCCTCAGTTTCCTCACCTGTAAAATGAGGGTGTCCTAAGGGGCTTCAGAACTTTTGGCCACTTCCCAACCTTTCACATTTCAGTTTGGCTGCTGGGGAGGTGGGCAGGGGGCCCAGCCACACCCCCCACAGTCGTCATCCCACCTGCCGGCCTGGGCCCTCTGGTGGCCTCATCTCCAGATGGGGAAGGTTTTCTCTCCAACCTGAAACAAAGTGGAGAAAAGGGATGAAATCCAATGTTCCTGATTTCCATTTCTTGAGCACTCAGGGATGTTTCCTCACAGTAACACAGCAGGGTGCTTTTCCACACTGCTCCATGGAGCACACCCCTCCCTTTCAACACAAAACCGTCAGGCCTGGCCCAGAATCCCTGCCAAGCCCTGGATGGTGGGTCTTCCTTCTGCTTCAGACCCAGGCCCAGGGGAAGCCAATTGTCCTTTATGCCAATTTCCCTGAGACCTCCAGTCTACACCTGGAGAAGAGGACTTTGCTGAGCGTCCACTCTGTAAGCTGGCTGGAAGGACGGCTGACACCTTGGGCCACGTCTGATTTTACTTCACATTTGAAACCACTGACTCTAGGCCATGCCTCAAAAGGAGTCACAGTGAAAATAAGAGCAGTCACCGACCGCATTCAGGCTCTCTACAAGAGTTTGGGGGAGAGGACGCCTCTGCATATACCCCACGTCTACTGGATTCCATGGGGAAAAGACCCTGGATGGCGTGGCCCATGCAAGCCCAACGGATGGACTGAGCTGTGTCTGGACGGACCCACCATGGCCTTTCCGCTACCCAACCTCGCGTCACCGAGGCTCTGCGGATACGGAAACCTCTTCTTTGTCACCCAGAACCCACATCAGAGGGAGAAGCCAGGAGCCAACCGTGTGATTAGAGACGGCCGTGTTTGCCACTGAAGGGCCCTCCCTCTCTGGTACCTTTGGAGAGGTGGGGTCTTTTTCGGAGGTGACAGTCCAGCTCAGGGTGACGGACATATGCCTCCTCCACACCGGGTTTCTCTGCAGCACGATGGAGCCAGTGACCACATCTCCGGCACGGACGGCCAAAGGCTCGTCCAGCATAAATAAGGTCTGTTTCCAATGCGTTGTGCTGTGAGCAAAGGCATCACCGAATGAGGACCCCTCCCGCTCCCACAATAACTGGCTGAACCCTGGGGTGCAGCGCTAAGTCAAGCCATGTGGGCCTCAGTTTTCTCATCTGTAAAAGGGGTGACTAGAAGAGATTCCCTCCTAAGGTCCCTCCTGCTTCCCAAATCCTAGGATACGATGAGAACTCTTCAAGAGCTTGGCTAGGGACACAGGGTCTAGTAGAAGTTTTCTCCAAAGAGTTGAGGAACAGCAGAGAGAGGGCAGGAAGACCTGACCTCTGCCGCCAGCTGGCACCGACCTGCTCTGGCGGACGGGGTTCCCTCATCCGGGAGCTCCCCAAGGCCTGGCACCAAACCCGCATTTGTGTTTGGAGGCAGAAGGGACGAGCCGGTCAGGCTGTTCTGCCGCGGGTGACGGCCTCCCGCCTGTCACGTGTGACGGTCTTGGAGGTGCACGGCACTGAGAAGTTATGGGCTTGCTCGGGGTCACGCAGGCAGAACGGTCAAAGGCATGACCTGGACCCTCCCATTTGTGACCTTGCCGCCTCCTGCCAAGGGCCTGGTATTCAGCAGACACTTAATGTGTGCTTCTAGTTATTTTAATACGTTATAGTTCTAGCCTGCTTTTCTAGCTTTTGAAGAATCAGCGTTTGGAACTTAAACCAAAGCCCCGGGCTCTTCATTCCTTTTTCCTCAGTTATGCCCCAAACCGCTTCTGAATCAAATTGCCTGACAAAGCCAATACAGAAAAGCAAACAGCACTCCGCCACAGGGTGCCACGCGGGCTGCCTCCCTGCCACCTCCCCGGGGTCACCGTCCCAAACACTCACGGGTCCGTGGGGCCTGTGCTCAGCACCAGCTGCGGTCTGTCTTCTCCCACACTCTGGAACTCGACACTGAACCAGGCAGAAAACCCGTGCAGAGTTCCGGACCTCCTGATGCAGAAGCAGAGGTCGCCCTTCATCTTCTGGGGGGAGGGAACAGAGAGGGAAGGGTCTGCAGCCACGGCCCGATGTGCGTGAAGAGGCAGGCAGGGGAGCGGCCCACCCAGCGTCTGCAGGCAAGGCGCTCATGGGCCCCGGGCAGGGAGGGCTGCCCATGTCAGAGGACGGCCTGCGGGGACGCCAAGGCCGGGCCTCTCTCTCACCTCAAGGTCAGGGATCTGCACGGTTTTCATGTCCAACTGGAAGACGGGACGTGGGTCCGAAAGGCACTCTTCCGGCTCTAAAGTATGATTGTACTTGGGCTTGGCGAAAAACTCCCTGATGGCCAAAGATCTGGTCGAGGTGGAAGAAAGAGCTGGAATCAGGTCCTGCGACGGCCGCCGGCCCCAGCCCCAGCAGGCGTCTCCTCCCTTCCTCGCCCGCAAAGGGACCCAGCTGTGTGGGTGTGGTGTCTGCTTCCCCAGGCGTGCCCCAAGTGGGGCTGGCGCCGGGGCTCCACGGCACGTGCAAGCCAGAGAGAAGACACCGCTCCGACGTCTGCTGGTGCCCTCTTTACAAACTCCGAGTCACGTGCCATTTGACCGCCCCTCCCCTTTCGGGTCAGGGCTTCCCTGTTCTGCCTCTCTCACACCAGGACATGGGGGGCAACAGGGACAGCTGATGCGCATCACGCTCAAAGAGCTGGGAGGCGTCGTCGGCAGTCAGCAAACAACTGGGCCTGTGGACACCCGGCCTGAGAGCGCGCTCACGGCCTCCCTCCCCTCTCCTTGTCGTCTCACCCTGTCTGCTCCCGTATCAGGACGGCAGCAGCCTCCACAGAGACAGCCACACCCCCAGCCAGGACCACAGACTTTTAGTGGACACTGAAATCTCTCACTGCACCCAAGGGGACAAGGAAGAGAGCACAGATGGACCAGGGCGCATCTCCCAGCCCAAAGGTGGGCCCTGGGGCTAAACACCCCCGATGTAGGCTGAACTGCAACAGACACCCCCAAATGTGTCCCTACCCAAGGGGAAAGAATCGCTGCAACATCTCCAAGAGAAAGATGGAAGCCTTCTGATCCAAAGGATGGAAGGGGTCGCTGGTTCAGTCTCATCCCCAAAGAAGGGGGCACAAGAGAGCCCCTGAATGATGATGATGATGATGATGGGGGGGGAGGGTGAGAGACAGGGAGACAGAGACAGAGATAGAGACAGTGACAGAGAGAGAAGAGAGAGGGACAGGGAGACAGACAGAGAAAGAGAGCAACAGAGAAGAGGAGGAGAGAAAGAAGAGAGACAGAAAGACAGAGACACAGAGAGAGAGGGGGAGACCGACAGAAGGACACAGAGACAGAGAGGTGGCCTTACATGGGGTGCGGATGGAAACTGAGGGATACATAAGGAACACAGAGTAGAGGTAAGAATGAAGGCAGAGATGTTAACGACCCCGTGCAAAACCTCTGAAGGCTGGTGTGGTGAAGCTGGAGACCAGCCACCCCTCCCCCCACACGAAGACCTCCATTCTGGAGCCGGGAAGGGGCTCGGGGGCCACCCCTCTTACAGGCCTGAGCTTGTGGCCCAGAGCAGAGCAATGATTTGCTTGAGGTCACATGAGAGTAAGTAACAGGAGCGGGATTTGAACCCAGGTCTGCTGCCTCTTTCCCCCGGACCAGGCAGCTCCTGTTTACAAGAACACACAAAGCCATTCCAGGCAGCCCCTTCTTTGCCCAGCCCCAACGATGCCTTCATCCCCCGGCTGGGGTTTCGCGAAGGCTACCTGATGGCCCCCGTGCCTCGACGCCCACTCCCCCATCTTGGCACATGCTCAGGGCCTTGGCAGCTGATCGTGGACGAGCGCTGGAACACAGCGAGCCGACTGTGCGCATCATCCATCAGGCTATCGAGAGCCCTGCCCGTTTCAGCCCACGCAGCAGTCCTGGTTGGCCTTGTGGGGAGCTCATTTTGGGGCCACTCACTTTAAAGAGCTGAGGTCGAACTCGTAGGCGTTGTCCCAGAAGAGGACTTTGTGGTCATAGTCCTTCTCAGCACTGCAGGGGGCGAGGTGGATCACAGCCGTGGTTGGCCAAATGACCCCATCAGGGGAAAGCCACTTGTCCCTCGCCAAGAGCACAGACTCAATCATGAACTCAAACTACAGACAGAGGGAAAAAAGACACAAGTGAAGCATTGAGTGTGGACCTGATGCTTCTGCTCCGTGGTCAGTTACCCTGACCCCTTCCCTGGCCCCAGGTGGCAGCCACGTCCAAGCTGCCTCTGGCCAGTCAAGGCCTGGCCTAGCTTGAGCCCTCCTCCCACCGGCTCCTGTGAGGCTCATCACGGAGCCTCAGTCAAGCAGGTGCTGCTCCCGGGGGCCTCTGAGGAGGGTAAGGCCCGCGCCGCTCCCTGCACTCGCTCCCGGGCTGCTCCTCACCAGCAGACACGTGCCCATCCACTCTGACACCAGCACATCCACCTTCCCCGGCAGGGTCACGTCCTCCACCTTCTGCTGGAAGACAGTGATTTTGTCTGCAAAGCCATTGTGTAGCACCAGCTGCTTGGTGTGCTGGGCCATCTCACTGGCCTCCACGGCATAGACCTGTGGGCGTGGAGAAGGGCACCCTCACTGCTCGGCTGGCACCCAGCATGTCAGTGCCAACACTCCTAAATGGGTCTTCCACCTTGTCTGTGAGTGGTGTGTGAGAACCACGGCAGGAGCCGAGGGGCCCAGGCTGCCCCCGCTGCTCCCCCTGGGCCGTGTCATCTCTACCGGTTAAGGATACTCGGCTGCCAGTACCTGCGTGTGATACCACAACTCTCACACTGCCTATCTCCGTGAGTTTTTGCGAGAATAAAACAGTGGAACAGGAGCTGGCCTTGGGTGTACATCTTGTTCCTGTTTGCTACCACTGAGACCCTCTAAACTTGCTAGAGATCTGTGAGATCATGGAGCCAGAGCAGAAGGCCTTGAAGGCCTGCCCATTCTCAATCTTCTGACCCCCGGGTGTAGAAGCCTGGCATGGAGGCACCGTCTCAACCGCGGAACGAGGCTCTCGGATGGAGGAGACACAGGAGACCAAGGGGAGGGAGTGCCTGGGCATCCGTGCCCACCTTAGGCCTCCTCACACGGGCCGTATGACTCCAGAGCCAGTCACTTAGCGCCCTAGGCGATGCTCTGCTCAGACTACCAAGCTGCAGACAAATGGCCCGTTTACACCTGAAGACAGAGATCCCCATCTGGGAGGTCGGGGACGATGGCTCATACCCCTCGTGCCTAGGTAAGGGCCTCACAGCCAGCAGCTGGGGCGGGTGACTGAGCTCCCTCCACCCAGAGGCAAGGCTCCGCCCGTGGCGTCTGTACTCACTGCTCTGGGCCGTGCGTAATGGGCACAGAAGAGGCTGAGGATGCCCGTGCCGCACCCAACGTCCAAAATCACTTTATCTTGCAGAAATTCTTTGTGCTGCAGGATCACCTGGTGGTACACAGCTGTCCTCGGCTGATCTGACAGCATTTCCAAGTGGAGTCTCTAAAGGAAACGCATGCCCGTCTTGGTGCTGGTCAGCTGAGGTGACCGCAAATGCCACCCATCGTGACCAAGACTGGAGGGGGCAGAAAGCTTCTTTAGGACACAGGAAACAGAAGGTCAAAGAGAGATTTTCACACAAAGACGCGTTACCAGGGCTCCATAGCTGCCAAAGTACTCCTCGTCTTGCCACGTGTCTTCAGGCTCCGGGTCTTCCAAGCTCTGCATCACGTAGCTGGCGGGGATGTACCCGCAGCGGCCCTCCCGCTCGCCCCACCACCACTCGGCCGTCACCCGCCTCAGCACCAGCAGCTTCTCTCCCCTGCAGAAACTGAGCTGGAAAACAAGAGGCAGGAAGGAAGTCTCACGAGGCCAGAAACTGCCAGATGGAGCCTCTGAAGAGAACTGCTAAGGCCGTCCCTCCCTGGAGCGGGGCCTGGACACAGGGGCCACCGTAAGTGAACGTGAAGGTTGACTTCCTGGGGGCCGGGGTCTAGGCCACACTGCTGCGGCCATCACTCCGGGCCGCAGGCCCAGAACCGTGTAAGATGCGGAGTAGGACGCCCCACGAGCCACTAATATCAGCTTCGACTGAAGGTTCCTGTCAACCTCGGAAAGACCGGCAGCTGGACAATCCCCACGCAGGGCTGCCCATTTTCAATGCCCGGGTGCCTGGCGACAGGGTCAAGAGCTGGTGAAGAGGAGACGGAGGCAAGTCTGGCCCCTCCAGACTCTGGGTGCGTCCTCTGACCCAGGCCTCGAGTCCTCCAGGGGCGTCATGGGGCAACCCCCCACCCCCATTCTGCTCATCAGTCAGGACGCTGCTGGAAAGAAATGCCAACTGGCCAGCTCGGCCCGCTGAAGAGAGGACTCGGGCAAACGGGACATGAACTTCCTAGCTTCTGCTTGCAGCCCAAAATCTAAAGACTGAGCCCTTCCCAGCTCATTCTGGCTCTGGAGGGCGATTCCTCCCTGCCTGTGCTCCACGTCCCTTCTCTGTCCCGCATTCCCAGCCCTACTCCCCCAGTCCTGCAGAGGGTGTCCCCATTCCCCCCCCAGTCCTGTCAGAGGGAGTCCCCACCCCCCCAAGTCTTGCAGAGGGTGTCCCCACCCCCTCTTCCGGATGCCACGCTTTTCAGCTGCTCAGACATAAGTCCTGTCCTGTCCTGGACGCCACAGTCCATGCCCAGGGAAGCGTCAGGAATCCAGGTCTGATGTCACAGCCGGGCTCGCCCATCGTCACCTGTGTCTCATCCACTGCTGTGTAGTCTGCGATGGCCACGAGCTCCTCGGGCTCTGCACTCTCTTTTACACGGTCTTCATCATCCCGTTCTTTGGTTTCTCCCACTTTCTGCACAAAACCAAGGCAAAGAGATGGGGGCTGGGCTGGAACGTCTGGGCAAGGATTTCAACAGAAATAAAGGCCAGTAAAGGCCAGTCACCTAATGGTCACTGCTGCCCCATCTTGCTACAAGTGTCCAGGTGGTGCTTAATAAACGCTCATCCCTTCCCCTCCCCCATCACAGCTCGTGAACAAGGGCTAGCGGGCAGGCGCCACCATTTCCGGATGCCTCTTAATGTGTCTCGAGGGGCAGATCCGTCGCATGCGCTCAGACGACAGCTGGTGGCCAAGGGCGCTAGGACCGCCGCCAGCAGGCTTCTGTTTGCCTCGAGGAAGCCCCAGGCCTCTGCTTCACCTCCACTGGTGATCGGGGTGTCTGTTGCAGGGTGACTTTTGCAGGATGTGATGGACACGGGGAGTCCGCTTGCTGTCAGCCTATAAGCTCAACATCCAGTCTGACCCCCTCTGAGCCCACAGGCCGCCAGCGGCTCTATCTTCTGGGACTTGAGGGGCTCCCACCATCCCTGGTCAGCCCCATCAGCATCCTCCCAACGTGGCTGCTGTGGGCGGTCTCAGGGCTCATCTGCCCCCACACATCCAAGCTCCAGATTACCTGTGCCTCCCCGGGGGCAGCGCCACGGCGAGGGGCCACAGCTCTCCTCGGCTCTGGCCCGCTGGGGTCCTCCTCTTCATGTTTCATCTTCTTTTGGCTTCTAACATTAAAAGAGAGAAAGCACTGATGGTTAACTACACTTATCACCACTCTGAAGTCTGTCCTAAGCCCCGCCCCGCCCCCACTCCCCCTGCCAAAGCAAAGCTGTGAAAGAAGCAGGTCTGCACTTGCTTCTCCTCCAGGAGAGCTAGAGGGAGTTTACAATGTGCGTCTTGTCTCGTCTTGTATTCTGCTCTTGTCTCGTCTCGTATTCTGCTTGCCAGTCACTGCTGGCCCGGCTGCCAGGTACGCAGGACCTGGTGCAGGGCACCACGGGAGCGGGCCACTGTGTGGTCAGCAGCACAGAGGACCCAGGCAATTCTGATCCTGCTTTGGCTTCCTCTATCACAGGGTGACCTTTGCACCGGAGGTAACAGAGCAAACACAGCTAGTGGGGAGGGGGTACCCAAGAAGGAAGGGTCCGGCCGCCCTGGGCGTGCACAAGTCCCTTGGCCCAGATGAACCACGTCCACTGGAGCTAAAAGAACCAGGCTAGGTCACTGCTGGGCCACTCTTGGACACACTTTGGAGACAGAAGGACAAAGGCTCTGTTTTCCACGAAAGGGAAGAGACTGGGGCAAGGTCCTCATCTTTTGTGTGTCCTGGACCCCTTGGGCAGGCAGCCTGGTGAAGCCTACGGATCCTTCCCAGAACCAGAGGACACACAGGGTTACAAAAAACAAGAACAACAGACAACTGTATGGAAACATGGTTAACAATAAAACAAAACAAAGCTAAAACCCACGGACTAGAGGCCAACAAATCTGAGTCCGATTCCTGGTAAAATCACTAGAAGATTGTCAGCGAATGCCTCGCCCAGGCGTGGTGCTCACGAGAGCCAGCACGGCGGCCCGCGAATGGAAGGGGCTGCCTGGGGGACCCAGGGGCGCCCGTCCCTGGATGTCTCTGCACGGGGGCTGGAGGGCCACCTGCCAGGTCTCCTTTTTGCAGTCCAAGTGGGCCTCGATGACCCCTGAGTGCTCCTCTCAACTCCGATGCTGGAAGACCAGTTCAGGAGCTCTTATATGAAGCCAACTGACTGGCCCAGGGTCACACGACTCATCCATCAGGGGCAGAGCTGGGGCTTGAACCAGTATCGTCTCCATCCCCCCCCCCCCCCCCCCCAGCCTTACTCGGAGCCACATGCCTTCTGTGTGGATGGCCCTCCTTTGAGAGCTACAGAGAGATAAAGTCCCTAGAACCTTCTCGGAGCAGCTGGGGGGGGGGGGGGGGCCTTGCATCCATGGCTCAGACAGGCTAATCAGTCCGGGCAGCCCCAGGCAGAGACAATTAAGCCTCATTAAATCAGCATTTAAGGAAACCCACTTGCAGGTTGCATCATGGGAAATTAGCAAGGAGGGGCCTTTTCCCTTGCCACTTGTCCAAGCCTCTGGGAAGGAGTTTTATACGAGTGGCCACATATGGAGAATTGACTAAGCCTGGATCCTAAAAAGAGGACAGCTCCAGCACCGTGGGGTGGGATTTTTCAGAGACCCAGGAGGATTATCACTCATCAGTCTGGGTCTCGAGATGGCAGTCGAATGTTAGTGGTGAGAAGTCAATTAAGAGTGCAGCAAGGAGCTGTTTCTTCTGGCACAGACTGGAAGATGGACAGCAACCCACCACTGCCCTCACCTAAGAGTCTCCTCACATACAGACTCTTGGGGCAGCGTTCGCAAGCTAAACATTATTCAGAGTAACTGTGGGAAACAAAGAAAAGAGGCTGGCTATTCACAGTACACAACGAAAGAACAGTGTATGTACTGGAGGAGAATGTCTACTTTTGAGCTAGAAAAGGGCGCCATCATCTCATCCTCGCTGATCTCAGTAACCAAAGACATCTGCCATTGGGCCAGACAGGGAGAACCCTGCCAGGCCTCCGGCATCCTCCACCTGCAGCAGCGAAGGCTTTTGGTTCCTGTAAGTGGCGAGAAGGAGACGCTGAAGGTCTGTGCTGCGGCAGCCAAGACCTTCCGCTCCCTTAGGATAAGCTGGCTGAGCTGTGAGCCTTCAACACCAGGCTCTTCCTAAGGGGGGCGGGGTGGGTAATTCCTGGTGCAATGGGGGGGGGGGGGGCGGGGGAAGGGACACTAAGGCAAGGCCAGCGAGGGCTAACCCCAGGAGCCGTGCTGAAGGTGCCTGTGGGGTACCTGGGGACGCTGGGCTTTTGGCCCCTTCTCCCACAGTAGTCAAGGTGGCCCCCAACGCTGTGGATGACCGGTCACTCAACAGGGATGGTCTGGGGAAGTTCCATTTCAAGAAGGGCCTTGCCAAAGAATGATCCTTTGCCAACATTTTTGGTCCAACTAACAAATGTCTGTTAAGGTCCGGTAGGAGGTGATGAGGGTCTGCATCGGACTGGGGGCCGTGTGAGTGGAGAGGACACGGGAGAGACGCTGGGCCGGCAGACTCCGCCAGACCACCTCTGATCCACCTAGACTTGGGAGGCAGTATGGTGCAGTGGAAGGGGTGCTGGTCTGTTTGGAGTCCTGGGTCCTGGGTTTGAATCTGGACTCCCTCATTACCTCTGCCACTGTAGGCAAGCCTCTCCCCCTCTCTGGGCATTAGGCAAAGCAGGGGGGCTGGTAGACACCCTCTCAGAGGTTGTCCTCTGCAGGTCTGAGTCCATGAGTGCTTGGGGTCAGAGTTCAAGGGCAGGAGGCTACTGCTGTAGTCTCCAACCCTGGGTCACAGACTCCTCAGACAAGGGGCATCCAGTCCAACCTCTTCATTGGACAGATTGGGAAACTGAGGCAGGGAGAAGTGAGGGTCTCAGCGACCTCTTTGACTCCCACCCACCATCATTCTCACCCCCAGCAGGAAACTCGTCGTCATGGAGACCGCGTCCTTTGGGTAGCCGGCCAGCAGCAGGGCCCTCCCTCGCCTCTGCCCCTTCCCCCTCCCCTTTCAGCTCCCTCCTCGGCGCTGCCTTCCCCAACTAGACTGGAAGCTGCGTGAGGGCAGGCGTTGTCCTCCTGGGACTTGTTCTCCCCGGAGCTTAGCACAGCGTGCTGTGGTGGTATGCAGTGGCGCTTCATAAATGTTAATCGTGCTGTATGTAGCAATGGGCATTTATGTAGCTCCTACTGTGTACCGGGCCCCCCTCCCTTTAATAAACAGGGAAACAGAGGCAGCCGGGATAGGGGCCGGGGGTCTCAGAGAAAAGCCGGTGCGCCCCGTCCTCCCCCCGCGCATTTGACAAATGAAGAAACTGAGGCAGCCCCAGCTTCTCCTGTCCCCTCTCCAGACCCGCTCCTGTCACGGGTGGGGAAACTGAGGTAGCCCGGGCCGGCTGGCCCCACGCAGCCCCCTCCTCCCACGTCCCCATCTTACCCAGGAAAAGGAGGCAACTGCCGGGACCGCCTCTGCCTGGGGCAGCCTGAGCGCCGGGGTCAACTGCGCAAGCGTGGGACGGCGGGGGCGGGGCCTCGGCAGGGCTCCACCCATAACCCCCTCGCCCCGCCCTCCCTATTCCCCCGGCTCCTAGGAGCGCCCGAGGGACCCCACGTGACTGTCTTAAGGCGCTTGCGCACATCCTTCCATCGCTTCCCGGTCCCGGGCGGTGGTGGCTCCTCCTCGGAGGTCTGCGCGTGCGCGCGGGTCGGCTCCTCCCCCCCGCCTCTTTGGCCGCCTCAGTTTCCTCGTATTTAACCTTGGATGGGAACCCGGGGGTAGTCGCTCCTCTCTCCGGAGCCTCCGTTTCCCCGTCTGTCAAGTGAGGGGCCGGACTCGCGGCGGCCTCGGGGCGGGCGGGACGACCGTTTCAAGCGCTTCGGGGTTTGCAAAGCGCTTTGCGTCCGGGCGGCCCCGGGAGGGGTACGCGGTGGGGGGGGGCGCCTTAGCATCCCGCTTGGACAGACGGGGAAACCAAGGCAGACCAAGGCACACCCAGGCCCGTTGCGTCCCCCCGCCCCAGCTGTGGGACCAGGGCCGGCCGCCAGGCCTAAGTTTCCTCGGGTGTAAAAGGAGACCCCGCGGTGCGGCCTCGGCCTCTGCTTAAGAAACCTCCGGGAACGACCCCAGCCCCTCCCCCACCCCTGCGGCCACGCGGCTCCCGGGCCTAAGTAATAAACATTGCAGGTAATCGACGCGATGGAATCCTAAGCGCAGTTGGCAGCAATGCCAGGTGGCACCGCAGCGGAGAGCGCGCTGGACTCAGAGCCCTACCAGCTCCGCCCGCCTCAGTTTCCTCGTCTGGAAAATGAGTCGGAGAAGGAAAGGACGACCTGCCGCGGCGTCCCCGCCAGCCCTGAAGAGCATGCTGAGCGGGACGAGGGTCGCGCTCTCTCAGTGCCAGGCGGTGCCCCTCTCCAGGCCTGCCAATGGCGGCCTTCTCGCCCCGAACCACAGCTGCCAGCCTTCTGGCCGTCCCCTCTCTCCGCAGTAGGTGGCGGTAGAGAGCAGCGAGCGCGGACGGCGCTCGGCGGGGCAGCGGCTCCGGGCTCCCGGCCCCCGGCCCCGGCTCCCTGCCCCCCCG